GAGTGGCCCCACCGAAGCTCCCTCTCTTTCTGCCGTGACCCAAGGCTCCACTCGGATTGGTTACCGCATCTCGCACATGGGTTGCTCACGTTGCCCAGAGTGCGCGAACGAGGACGCAAGAGTCGGGATTGAGTATAGCCATGCAACTGTAACTGCATACCCAGCGCAACGACTATACCTCATTGCACTCCAGTATGCAAACGTACATTTAGATAATTTCAAATCGGCAAATCTTTTTTTAAAATCAGCTTTTAAATCATGTGCAATATTTTTTTCTAGCCATGGAAAATGATGAAATGTTCTTTTTTTGAGATCATGATTAAAAATACGTAGCTTAGCTTCCACCATAGATCAGGTATTCACAAAAATCCATCGCCAAATCTTGGAAAAGACCCGCGAGAATAGGATCGACACACTCCATTTATTTGACGATTCCAAAGCCGCTTTCGACAGCACGAAGAGAAGTTGTCTCTATGCCGCGATGTCTGAATTTGGTATCCCCGCGAAAATAATACGGCTGTGTAAAATGACGTTGAGGAATACCATCAGCTCTGACAGTATTGGGAAGGACCTCTCCGAGCCGTTTGATACCAAATGAGGTTTCAGACAAGGTGACTCCCTTTCGTGTGATTTCTTTAATCTGATGTTAGAGAAGATAATAAGAGCCGCAGAACTGAACCGCTCAGGCACAATACTTTACAAGAGCGTACAATTGCTGGCTCTCTTCTCGGGATAAGATAGAGAGGCAAAGCGAATGGGTCTGGTGGTGAACGAGGACAAAACGAAGTATCTTGTGTCATCACACAAACAGTCAGAGCATACCCGTCTTGGCACACACGTCACTGTTGACAGTTACAAGTTTGAAAAAATAGACGACTTCGTTCATTTGGGAACCAGCATTAACACCAATAATAATGACAGCCTTAAAATCCAACGGAGAATCAATCTTGCCAACAAGTGCTATTTTGGACTGAGTAGGCAATTGAGAAGTAAAGTCCTTTCTAGAATAATTTTCGACAAATCAAAAACAAGTTTATTCTCTCCTTGTAGAGACAAATTCAAGTTTTGGAAATGTTTCGTCATACCGATAAAGAACATTAAGTCAGAAAACCAAGTTTCATTCTCCAATTGCGGGTAATGTTCCGATTTCAATTTGCGTATGTGTATATAAAAAGAATAAAATAAAACAAAAAAACAACACATTGGAATATAATGTCCAGCAAAGAAATATGTACATATTTTAAAAAGTAAAAAGAGCCAAAATGTTCTAAGCAAGGAGAAAGTAAAAAGAGCCGCGCTTTGCTAAGCAAAGAGCCGCATTTGGCTGAAAGAGCCACGTTTGCCCACCGTTGATATATACTTATTTAAAATTTTAATTATGTACATATAAAAGNCAAAAAAACAACACATTGGAATATAATGTCCAGCAAAGAAATATGTACATATTTTAAAAAGTAAAAAGAGCCAAAATGTTCTAAGCAAGGAGAAAGTAAAAAGAGCCGCGCTTTGCTAAGCAAAGAGCCGCATTTGGCTGAAAGAGCCACGTTTGCCCACCGTTGATATATACTCCATTTCCACTTCGGTTATGTACATATAAAAGGAAAAAAATTCTCTAAGCATTTTTCCATCAACAATTAACAATAGAGCAGTTTTTTCGCTTAACAATACTATGCTTCAGGTCGCGTATTTTTTAGCCGCCCTGGCTGAACTCGTATAAATAGCGGAGTTTGTGTTGTTGTTTTGTATGCGTTTCGATAATTTACCGAGTGTTCTTTCGTAGCTAGGTTGAAAAAGGAATGCACCCACTATAACCACTTCTCCGCGAAGGTTTTTGGCCACGGCGCTGGTCATCTGCCACGTATATCCCTAGATCTTATAAAAGAAAGCCTAAAAATATGGATGTTCTCTTACAGTTCAGCTACAACTACATCTATTTTGTTCCGGTTATGAGGTGCGTTTGTCGAAGGCTGAGGTCGAGATCCAGAGTCCAGTGTAGGTCCCACCAACCTCTACCAAATAAAACACAATATTCTCGTGTATTTAATTCGAGCACACACACACACGGCGCTATAACTACAGTGCTGCCAATAGGGTTGCCAGACCTAAAATGCCAAAAGGGATAAGAACAAATTGGGGGACTTGGGGCACAACTAGGGCTGCCAGATATCTCGGTTGCCAAACCGGGACACTTAAGGGGGGAGAGGCCTCTCGCTCCCTTCCCTTTCGTTTTGAAAAAAATTACGTACGAAAGGATGTAGTAAAATTTTATTTTGACAAACAAAACCAAAAACATAAAAACATGAGATCATGAGATCATTACAACGTACACCAGCAAAACAAAACAATTTATCACAACTAAAGCACAGAGAATTTTTCACAATGCATGTACTTTTTTTGTTCCTTATAAAAATACAGTTTATACTAAATACATCAGAAAACATAAAAAATAAAATTTCTAAACTTTGTGCAAAACTCGGGAAAATGCAATAAATTTGCACACAAATTTGCAACTTTCTATTCAGAGTTTTTTATAAAAATTTTGAAAATGAAGTTTTGCAGCCCATAAAAATTTAGTTGATTTTTGGTATTGTTTTTACTGAGAGTTCCTTCCATACAAACTATATTCGACATTTTTTTGTATGTGGAAGACACTGTCAGCAAAAAATAAATAATTGCAAAAAATCAACGAAATTTTCTGGTAACTTCAGACTTGCACTTTACTAATTGGCTCAAAAGCTACATTTTCAAAATTTTTCTAAAAGATCTGATTAGAAATTGTGATCAGATGAAGGAGTCTCCGAGCCAATAATTTTGTACGGCACGGTACTTATAAGTAATGTAGGTTTCACGAAAGAAAAATAAATAAATACAAGGTAACATTAAAATATCAGTCATTTGTTTCGTTGCTGTGAACTTGCTTCAAAAATTCTGGCTTTTGCTTAATATAATTNTGTGTATATACTATTTCGCATCAACATGCAACTTGGAACTCGCCCTCTGTGTGGTCAACAACTTTTTGAGTTGACTACGTTTGCCTTTGAGTCGGCCTAAATTATCCTTTTTTAATCCCTTGTCTTATTTGGGTCAAATCTAGTATATGCCAAAAAAAAAATTTTTTTTTTGAATTTAAGGAATCTGAGCATGCACAATACTCAAATGGCATGTANTGCGGCCGTAATTTTATGCCGATTTCAACAATTTTCAACGCTTTGCTTTTATGTGGCAAGCGCAATANATATTCTTACAGTTTCGCGCGTTTTAATTGATCCTAGAAAAATATATTGACCTCAAAAGGAAAGAAGACATTTTCTTACGTGTACTTCCTATTGGAAAACTAAAGGCTCGCTGCGGCACCTCTTGCAATTGTCCTAGAGGGGTGAAATCCATGGAGGAAATGCTAAAATTTGAGTCATATTCCGGTCGCAGGATTTTTCTTTTTTTTCTTTTACGTGGTCTAATGTACATATATGCTTATGTTCAAATGCAAGTCGCTTCTTGTTTATGTTATGTTAAAGTGAACCGGCCAATGAACTGGGCAATGAGTACGCGTATTATGTTTTGATGCTTGATTATGTTTGTATGTTTCTTGTTACACTACACCACTGCAGACCTCTATTAAAAGATCCTTCCAAACATAGTTTAGTAAAATTATTTCCCGTTTTTTCTCGCTATTTTTTACCAAACGAATCATCTGATGTAATTTTTCGGTTATGGATTATCTTGCACTGATTTTAATAAAAAGTTGGGGCATTTTGTGGAGACATTACGAACTGCAATTTAGGAGGAAAAAAATGGAAAAGGAAGAAATAATGGGATTGGATGTGGAGAGTATCTACCAGTAGACTTCGAATACAGCACTGTAAAAATCTGTTCATTCTTCTACATCTACAGCATTCGTAGCTCTGAAAGATTTCTATGATACCACATATTACACATAGTATCAGAAACTACTCGGCTACATTATTATGGATTATCTTGCACTGATTTTAATAAAAAGTTGGGGCATTTTGTGGAGACATTACGAACTGCAATTTCGGAGGAAAAAATGGAAAAGGAAGAAATAATGGGATTGGATGTGGAGAGTATCTACCAATAGACTTCGAATACAGCACTGTAAAAATCTGTTCATTCTTCTACATCTACAGCATTCGTAGCTCTGAAAGATTTCTATGATACCACATATTACACATAGTATTAGAAACTACTCGGCTACATTAAAACAAGATAGCTTACGTTAATGCCGGCCAAACACTGTTTTGAAAATGAGTCAGCCTTAGAATACCTATTTTCTGATTATATTATATTTTATGCACACAGTGTTTGAATTGTCAAATTTGACAAAAGTACTTAGTCAGGAAAAAGTACATAATGTGACGGATGCGCTGCTCATACAAGAATTTATTAGCAGCAGCCCAGATAAGGAAGTGCTTGAAGAGTTTTCGCTTATTTGCGGCTACGTTATTGCTGTCGTTAGTCGGAGTGTTTCAAACACTTTCGTGCTGACAATTTCAACTGTACAAACTTTCGCATAATTATTGAATATGTTTCATGTATATGATTTTGTTTTAAGCATGATCCATACATGTATTCATAAAAACAATAAAAGAGTTTAGCTTTCAGAATATTGTAAATATTTAAAAAAGAAATGGTGCATACAGACTTTTGATGTTAAGTGTATGACTTCGCAAAAATATTTACGTTTTTTGAGGTTTAATGTACAAATTCTCATATTTGAACCGCCTATAAATGTATCAAACTATTTAGCAAACAAGAACTCAAAAACAGTAAAAAGATTGACAAATTCACTTACCTTGTATAAAAAGTTTGTAATATGAAGTCCCTTGTGTGCTTTCATTTACCAAAATAATTTCTTGAAAAGTGAACCACCGCGGAAATTTAAAGGAGATGTGCCTCTCACTAGTTTTATGCACATCTACGTTAAAAAATTTCTGTAATGCAAGAAAAAAGCATGAAATTATTCATTTAAAATTAAATTATTTGACAATTTATATTGAGCTCGAGGCCGTTTTAAATGAAAATTTTATTGTGGAAAAGCAACAATAATTTGAAAAAATGGTAGAAGTGATAGCTATTTCGGAAATCACCACATTTCCTCATCAGACTTCTTTCAGTAGGATTCGAACCGACGATC